GCATATGAAAATGTTCAAAACTGCAATTGTTCTTCATTGCGGCTTTTGTTGTTTATCAAGATTGATGCATACGATGAATTCTTGTGTTTAGTTGGTATTTCAGTGGCCTTAATTGCAATAATTGCAAATAAAAGAAGAAAAATCGTGCAGCAAGACGAATGTGGGTTAACCCATATTTACGACAATGAGCAACAAAGGGAAGATTTTCCAAAGATGTGTGTAGTGTTATATCTCTTGTTTCCTTCTAAATTTCAAATGTGCTCGGTTTTTGTCTACTTTTTATTTCCCAAATGTGTCGTTTAATTAGTTTGGTGACATGACCGAGTGGAACATCGAATTTTCGCGAACTTTGAAGCGAGTTAAAATGAAAGAAAATCTTTGATTTGTTTAGAAATTAAGTAACGACCGTCAAAGGTCACAAATTCGATAGTAAAAATAGAATAAGAACAGTTGCAACAACAATAACAAAAAGTAAGATTTGAACGTGATAAGAAGAAATCCATTGTGAGATCACGATAATTTGATCGATATAGAATTATGCCTGAAGTATTCACAAAAACCAGATTTACCATTTAACAGATAAATAAATCATGTATTCACATAACAAAACGAGTCTTTTTACATCTATGACACTAAACCAAAGCAAATTCTTATTTCTGAACAGGCGGCACTTCGGCTAGTTTCGCTATCGATGGTTCATCGGTTTTCTCTTCTAATATTTTATCTTTCAGTTGTTTTGGCATGGCTTTTAAATACATCCCAGACACCGCCGTGTACAGCTCGGCCATCATAGGGAATTTATCATCAACACGATCTCGAAATTCTGTAAACAAACCGAAACAAAAACTTCATGAACCTATTCATTCGAAGTTGCGTTTGAAAACACTTTTTACCTTGGTTATTTTTGTATTCTCGATACAGATAATATCCCGATCCGATTGCTATTACTTCCAAGGCCAATCCATAGGTTAAGGTATTTTTAAAAATTCGTTTCCAGTCAATTTTTGGTGGATCCATGGCTGTGTGATATTGAAATGGATCTTCACTCAAACAGAGACTGAATGAATGACGATGTGACATAACCACAAATTTGTCATATAAACAACAGAGCAACAGAGTGTCAAACAGGAGATATGAACGCTACCTTTATTGGATATGATTTGATTGCATTTTAAGATTCCATTTACCCGAATTTTCATATCTTTTATAACAGAAAACACAATTGGCAGTTTTTATCTGCATTTTTTCCGTTTCAGACGACTCAATTTTGCTTTGATTTGAATCAGCTTACAAATTTATCGTACCATTCTCTTTTGAATATTCAACGAAAAACCTCCGATATATGTACATGCACGAAGTTGGCTGTTGATGAACCGATATGACAACGCGAACGCCATTATATTTCTCTTCTGTCATTATTGTGTCCATAAACGAGAAAACAAAAGAAGAGAAAATTCGAGTTAAAGCAACATAAAATGATGTACGCTAATCAATATTTTCCGGGAGACCCAGAAGACGTTGGTATGCACAGTTTGTTATTTGTTTTGTTTTGTTTTGTTTTGTTTCGTCTTATATATGTATAAATAAATATAATTTCTTATTTCGAATAGAACAGAAGTTCTGGAAAATGGGTATAAAGCACGAGTTGTGGCATGAGGAAATGGGTATATAACTTTATATTCGTATATTGTGAACAAACGTGATTCAGATTAAATTCAATCTTATCGATTAATATTAATATCTCTACTTTTAGATTCCCCGGCTCACTTTGAGAATCAAATTCGTGACTTGTATAATACACGTCAACTACTTTTGTCAAAAATGACGATTCAGGGCAATTATAAAATTCAATCGAGTAAAGTCTTTTTGGCCAACATGAAGAGGGCAATAAACAAACAAAACAATTTCATTAGTAAGTTTGGCATTGCAGCTGATAGGAGTATGGACCGTAAATTGAAAATTGGTAAGAAGATGTTTATTCGAAAGTAATAACAAAGAATCCAAAATAATTTTTCATATGTGTTTATAGCATCGAGGGGATGGTACAAAATGATAAGAAATCAACTTTACATGCACGGGTATATTTTGAAGCGTGAAATGTATAGTAAGATGACTAAAAATACGCTCCATTTTAACCCTATGAGTGACCTATTGATTTTTGAATTAGTGAACCAACATAAGCAGACTCTTCTGGATGCATTGGCGAGGCTACAACTGTTAAACGATGAACTTGACGGAAAACTTGTACAGGAATGTGATGCGCGATTTCCATAATGAAGATAAATTCATCCATGTGAAATCCCAAAACACTTTCTGAACAGGCGGCACTTCGGCTGGTTTCACAATCGATGGTTCTTCGGTTTTCTCTTCAAATATTTTATCTTTCAGTCATTTTTACTGAAAACTTCCTCTACTCACTGCATATGCTCCGATAAAAATAAATAAAATTCATTAAAACTACACAGAAAATGAAACAAAAATGCTTTCTTTCTCTCTGTCTCTCTTGTGGTATCGGTAATATTCTTTATTTTATTTATATTTATTTAAATCAGGGTGTAGCCGTTGAATGATACGATATTATTACAAGTTGAATTCAAGCCTAACATAAAAAAATCATTTTGGGTGTGTCTTAATCCTAATGCAATTACTCAATTTTGGGATATAAATATGATTTTTAAACACATTTTCATTGATTTTCGTTCCAACAAATTTTTTTTTTTAAATTTTCTCCCCATTTTGATTGAAAATAAAGCAAAATAATGAAAAAAATATTGGAACAAGCTTGAAAAGTGTCAAGAGAAGCTTTGAATTTGACAGATAGATGTCGCTGACGCAGTCATTCAGTTAAATTCATACTAAGATGCAAACAAATTTCATTGAACTACATCCGATAAGAGAATAATCGTTAAAACCTGTGCATTTTCACGTTAAATGATTAATTTTTAAAGCAAAACACTCAGCACTAGTAGCTAGATAGTGTCATAAAATATGTTTTTGTGGTTACATTTAGCCGTAAACTATTCAATTTTCTCCTCCATTTAATGTCACCAAAGAAGAGTAACAGCGTAGTTGCCTCGCCTTCATCACATCAGTTTGGCCGAGGCAAAACAAAGATAGACGATAGAAAGTATAAAAGCTCACCAAATGGAATGCAATTAAAACCAAAACTACGGTATGTGCATAAAATCGATGCGATAGAGAAAAAAATGAAACCCCTGCATTGAATTACACGAAAGAGATAAGTTTTTCTTTATTTAAAATGTTATATATGTACAATAGGGTGTTCAGGTTTGGGGAGTCAAATAAGAATATATGATTTCTACGTAGATTTCGGCC